TAGTCCCAAGTGTGTGTACATATACATCTGTAAGTACACATGTGTCGGTACACATACACCTATGTATGCGTACACGCTGCATACATCCGTCTGTGTGTATACACACACATATATATATATATATCTATATATATATATATGTATACCTGCAAACATACATCCTGTGTGTGCTTACTCACATGCCTACCTACCTACCTACCTACCTACCTACCTACCTACCTACCTACCTACCTACCTACCTACCTACCTACCTACGTACGTACGTACGTACCCACACACATATGTATATATATATATATATACGCACACACACACACACTGTGACATCTAGAGATACATATACAAGCATACTTGTCTTCTCCCTGTCGTGGTGAAACATAGAAGGGGTACCCTGACAGATCCTGTGTCGAGCGAGGTGAGCTTCAGTCGAAAGTCCACCTTCACAGAGGAGAGTGATGCTCCCCGCTGGAGCAGGCACAGTCTGTTTTCAGGTTCAGGGTATCCTGTCTAAGCGAGTTTAGAGCCTGTGATTTTCGGGTATCAGGTTAAGGGGAGCACAGCTTTGAAGCTTCAGGTTGTTCGTTCTGGAGTGGACCTCTAGGACTAGTACTCTAGGAAATGTGAGGGTGTGTTGTGCCCTCAAGCAATCATCGACGAGAAGCACTGCCAAAGAAGAGCATATGATACCGATGATGACCAAGATGATGGCTTAGGGGATAGGGATCCCAAACTAAGTGGTTGTGAGCTGAATGTTTTTGGCTGCTCTCCGCAGGTCGTGGGGCGCTGCCACTACGCCGAGGTTTCTGGGCAATGAGGCAGGGTGGTCTATTTTAGGGTGCAGTCGCTCAGATGCGGAAGCCAGAAAGAGCGAGAGTGGATCTCCTGTCCTGCACTAGGGGCCCTCTGACAACCTCACAGTCGCCGGTGAGCCTCAAGACTTGGGCGCACCTGCGGAGTGGGGGGGGGGAGTGGGGTGACCTTCTACCCTCCAGCCCACAGAAAGAAGGGTTTCGGTACAGAGACAGAGTGACAAGCGGGTAAGAGAGAACGACAGACAGACAGAGAAAGAAAGCCAGCTTGCTGGAGCAAGAGGAGTCTAGAGTCAGGATCTCTCCCTTCCAATCCAGACACAGAGCAGGAGAAAGAAAGAAGTCCAATGAAGAAAGTAGCGAAAGGAACAAAGGCTTGGAGCGTCTTCTTGCCAGGAAGAAGCAGGATGAAAGTTCGTTGAGGGGGACCGGTGGAGATAGGTCTGCCAGGTCATAGTCAGGTCTGCCAGGTCATAGTTTCCGGGCCATACTTGTGCAGTGACTTGTCATAGGGGTAGCATCGGGTTCAGTTTGAGAGTGTTTGACTACTCTCCTTAGCCGCTACACCAGTGATCCGTTCTTTTGAGCTCCGGATGGGCCAGCCGACCTCGGGGTGTGTCCTTGCCCGTGGTACGTGGGGGAGCACACGAAGAGAGAGGAAGCGAGACCCATATTTGGCTGTGGATTTGTCTACAAGCCAATGGTGGTAACTGGCGACAGCGCTAGCTAATCACCATCATCGTCCTCCTCGTCGTCCTCGTCGCCGTTGTCGTGCTTGTCATCAGCATCGTCTTCGTTGCACTCAGCGTCAAAACTAGCGAGCGTAACCTTGACAATAAAATACCTGCAAGGGCAATGTTGGGCTGATCCCGTGCCTTTTGAGGTGATTTCAACCAGCGCCGACCTCAAGAATCACAAGTCTGGTGTCCAGATGCAGCAGCCAAAGAAAGACAAGAAGGGTGCTTTGACGCTTGGGAAGCCGAAGGGAGCAGTTGCGGTGTTCATTCTGAGGCTCGGAGTTGGATTGGAGTTGCAATGTCAAGGGCTAAACGGTTTGACGCAGTACGATCCAGTAGAGCTCATGTTCCGCCGGTGGTGTAGCAGCTGATACATTCCTCATTGCCATTGCATTTGCGTCATGCATGACAGAAGATCTTCGAGTTGCAGGAAAACATGTCTTCCAGATCTCAGGAGTGGCGTCTTCGTGCCGACATGCGCCCGCTGGCGGCCTTATGTGGGTTGGCGTTCTGGCGCCCCGTTCTGGGTCTGGGCAGAGAGTCCGAAGCTAGTGAGTCTAGTGGGGGTTTCCGAAAATTGGAGAACCTTATTTTGGGGTCCTTATAATAAGGATCCTATTATTTAGTAAGATTCCTAGTGACCTAGTGGTTTTTTGGGTGTTTTGGGTCCATCATCACCAGGCTGGCCCTGCCTGCAATGCCCGTAACATGCAGTCCTACTTGGAGGATCATGGGACTTAGTAACTAGGGTTATAAATAAGGTAACTATCATTATAACCCCAATTAGGGTACCTATAACCTTACTTACTAAGTCCCATGATCCTCCCAGTATGTAACATGCTCCAGCCAAGGGATGTAGGCGCCCATGACCCGAGTTTGTTAGCACTACGGCGCTTTCAGTACCGGAAACATCCCAGGAAAACATGTGGGGCGTACTGATTTTCTTGCGGTTCTACTACATCGCATCTTGGCAGCAGCATGCAACAGATCCGTTCTGCTGAAGTTTAGCTTGTTGGAGCACTGGTATCAAGTTCGGCTCCACTCTGTGTCGATACTCTGCTACGTGCCCTCTAGCCGCCTCCGCTACGTTGCTATGTTGGCGTGGATGTTGACGGTGTTTGTTCTTTAAGCAGCAGCAGCCGGAGGAGCAGCAGGAGCGGCAGGAGAGGCAGGAGCGGCAGGGGACAGCAGGAGCAGCTGCAACAGCAGTAGCGGCAGTAGTAGCAGCGGCGGCAGCTCCAGCATTAGCAGAAGCAGTCGCAGTCGTAGTGCATTGTGGTAGTTCTTGCTGTCGTTGTTGTTGCTGCTGTTCATGTTATGGTCGTCGTCGTTGTTGCAAACTTTGTTGTGGTGGCATTTTATTGTAGCCCCAAAGCTTTGCAAGTGCCCAGGTGGGACAGGCCGGTATCTGGCAAACATTGTGCGCCGTCGGACTTTCCTTTGCCGCGGCCTTTTGCACGACTGCTGTGACTTGCTACCAATCCATCGGTTTAGGGTTTCGGGTTCTAGGGCTCAGTGCTTGGGCAGGTTAAGGATCTGCGATGCATGGTCTCACTATCTAAGGGGGGTGGTAGCCCAGAGCCGAAGCCTCTAGAATCGGTGTCAAAAGCTTTGAACTGTAGTGGTTTAGTCGCCAAAACTCCTACAACAGAATCCCTGTCCTCGGCTACTGATATGAAGGGTTCAAACTTACTAAGTAGACTATCCCGACTTGCTGTGTCGGACGCTTTTCAGCGGCGAGGTGGGCCCCTACTGGCCTCAGAGGGTGGCCTTTTCATCGCGTGGAAGTATTGCCGTCATGTTGTGAGTGCCTATCTACGCAATGCACTAGCTTCCATGACAATGTGTTCGTTGGAAGCAGGGAGCAACCGAAGTCCTGTTCGCCCTCAGGGCGGTTGCTCGTCAAGCAGCACATACAGTTTGTCATGCTTGTATCACATGAAGACACATTGCTGCTCTGTTTGTCCGAATGCTCAGTTTTATATCGTTCGTCCGTCCGTCCGTCCGTCCGTTCGTTCGTTCGTTCGTGGTACACAACAGTACAGGTAATGCACGCGACTGTACGTCGAGGCCATGTGTGTGTGTGTGCATATGTATGCATTTTTACATATACACATATGCACACGCACAATGTACACGTCTGTGTATTTGCAGATTATGCGAAAGATGCATCCAAGTAAAGGATTGGTGCCAGACTTTCTATCACCTATGAGATATTCGATAGCCGCTGTGCGAACGTCATTTAAACCTGCCCAAAACGGAGTACACTTGGTTTCGGGGCTTGGTTTCGTTTGCACGGTCAGACACTGGTAGGGTTCACCGTCGAAATCCGGCATTCGACCACAGAGCCAGCAAAGCCGAAAGATGTACAAACGGCATAGCCTGTGGCCAAGATCGTGGGTAATATAGGGGCCTAAAAAAATTACCAAAGGGCTCCTTATTATAATCATGGCATAATCTGACTGTATTTTGGGGCTCCTTATTATAAGTATGGTATGCAGGGGAACGTATCTGGGGCTCCTTGTGATAGACTCAGAGGCGACTGAGACCCGATAAGGCGATGTCTTCCATCGCCTCCTCGGGGGGCCTCGTGAGCTCCGGCGGCCCCTACTACATGATCTCGCGCGCGCTAGGACGCGCGGAGGGTCATGGCGGGTTTAGGGTTTAGGGGTTTAGGGGTTGAGGGTTTAGGGCTTAGGGCTTAAGGGTTTAGCAATGCCTGTGCAGCTACATGAGGCAGCTTCAGATGCGAACTGGCGTAGTGTGGAAGCTGCGAGCCTTTGTGAACTCAGTAGGGGAAATGTGATAGGTGTTACACAACGGGCGGAGATGTGATGCCCGGCGGTGTCCGGAGCTTCAATGTTGCAGTCAATCGATTAGCAAAGTATCCCCGGAAGCAAGAACAACAGTTTTGAAGACTGGTTGCTGCTTCTTGACAGGACCGGTAGTCGGAGCCACTATCGGCGTGATGTACTGGCTCGCGATCACCATGCTTTCTGCCTGAGACCCGGGTCTGGAACAAAATGCGCTCATGCACGAGAGAGAGAGAGAGAGAGTGAAAGAGAAAAAGAGAGAGAGAAAGAGAGAGAGAGAGAGAGAAGCAAGCAAGCAAGCAAGCAAGCAAGAGAGACCCCCCTTATTCCAGCAGAAAACAAGGGAGAGAGGCAGAATACACACCGGCACGATTAGTTCGTTGACGCATGGACGGGCAACCAGCCTGTCGCTTTCGTTGATGAACACAGAACATACAGTCAAAATTAAAAGGAGCAAGCAATCAGTCGCCACCCGATCGTACAAACACAATTAAAAGAACATGGTGCTCAGGATTTTCCATATCCCTTAAGCCCGAGGGATCCTGAAAGCACCCACATGTATCTGGCACTGTAGAGCCCTCCAAACCTAAACGCCGGACTCCAGTCTTGAGCCCCCAAGATTCGAAACTTTTCCTACAGAGGTCCTAGAGTGCCTTGGCGCGGTGGAGGCGGGAACGGAACACAGGCTTCCTAGCGTCTTCCCGGGTTCTGGGTTTGGGCTTTAGGGTCTTTTGCGCTGATCGTTTCAAACTGTCAGCAGGGTTCAGCCGGTGAAGCACCGAGGTTGAGGACCACATGCTTGTACGAGCACGTTGGAAAGGCAATAGCAGCAAACGTGGCAGAAATCAGAGCTTTTAGTTGTTGAGAGAGGTGGACGCCACGACCCAATATCGTATGCAAGATTGAGGCATCAGTCACCACAGCAGACGGAGCATTAGATTAAAACGTGCAGTAAGCATCAGAGGGTGCTGCCATGATATAAGCAGAGGTGTGCCAGGATCCGAAAAGCGAGATTGTGCAAATCCTGGTCGTGCCCCGTACACTAACCCTTGTAGTGCTCTTTGTAATAACCCTTAGAGTACCCCTTGTGGCAAACCTTATAGCATCCCTTGCAGCAACCGGAAATCTGACAAAGAGCTGCACCCCCAGGCTCTGGCTATGGCGGCCCCATCGGTTCAGTTCCCTGGATACCGACAGGCCGGGCTAAGATCGCAGATCGGAAGAGGACGACGATGAACATCATGGTGGTAACGAGAATGCCGATGTTGGTGGCAATGTTGTTAGTGGTGATGATGATGACCAGGGGACGATGACTATGATAGTCGCAGTCGCTGTGACGACTGACGATGATGATGCATAGCATGATCCTGATGCGGGTGATTGTTGTTGTTCTCTTGGATGGTTGTTATGATGATGGAGGCAGCGAGGTTTGATGCTGACAGCCTTGCTTCCCAAGGCGATCGGCTCAGGGCTGATGGCCTCGCTGGCCCTCGCGGTATGGGGAGGCTGGAAGACGCGGGCTAATACCCGGGTTCTCAAGATAGCTGTTTGCATCTTAGGAAGGCTGTCGCAGCATGTGTTGTCCAGCTTTCACCGGCGGATACCACGTGCTTTGCATCACGAACCAAAGCCGTGGCTTCTCCTTTTTGTTCACCCTCAAGCCCAAGCCCTAAACCTCCAGGCATCAACATCGTGACCAAACTCGGCCTCTTCTTCGCGCTGGTGGTGGTCTACACGCTGTTCAGCTTTTATCTTGGCCTTTTCCAAGCTGGACATGGTGGGCTTGAGGGCTCCACTGGAGACGGGCGTGAGAGTACTGCTCTGCTATTGCCAAGGCATGCTCGTGTCTATATCGGCATTCACAGTGTCTATTGTGTTCTTAGCTGGCGCCTTTGTTGTATGTGGTGAATGCAATGGGTGTGAGTGTCGTTTTTATAGAGAAGCATCTTGACCGTTTCAACAGCGACTTTGTCGAACTCCCTACTGGCGGATCATCAAACTGGATTTCGAGCAGAACAGCCGTCAACAAGTTCTTCATGTCGATTGTCAGTTCTGCTTTCTTGTTTCTGTCTACAACTCTGTGTGTCGAGAATCGTGTATGCAAATCATTGCGCGCGTGCGGGTAGGCGCAGAGAGCTGAAGAGCTTAGAAAGAAGCACAAAGTCCTATAGCAATCTCTGTCTTCGTTCCCCCGTTTGCTGCAATGATGAATTCAGCTTCGAACCGAAAGATTGGACCTTGCTTCGGCGACCCTGTTTTCAAAAGCTTTGCTCTAATTGTGAAGGCCCCCGTACCCCGAAACCCTAAACACTCAACCGTACCCGAAGCCTTCGAGGCAACCCAAGAAGGAGCCCTAAACCCCAAACCCTAAAACGCAGGACCCTCAGACGGCCTAAGCCCGGGAAGCGAGATGATCACGGGCCTCAGCTGGGAGCCTCGCCCGGCAAGGATTACACGATAGATACTCGTACTATACTGTGAAAGCAAATATCGCACTATACTATATTATGTAAGGTTGAACGGTGTTACAGTCTATTCCATTCCGTTCGATTCTATTCTTATACAATTTCTCACTATTGCATTCCATTCCATGCTATTCTGTTGCTTTATCATACCATACCAAGTCATACCACGTCGTACCATTTCATATCATAATCATCAGAATCATATCATATCATAACATGTTATACCACACCAGATATCATATACTATCATGCCACATGTTATCATCATACCATACCATATCGTATCATGTCATATAATCTCAGAGCGCAGCATAGCAAAGCAAAGCATAGCATAGCATAGCATGGCATGGCATGGCATGGCATGGCATAGCATAGCATGGCATAGCATAGCATAGCATACCATACCATAGCATAGCATAGCATAGCATAGCCATATTATATCCGATCATAGAAACGTGTCATATCCCATCATACCGTACATATCATGTCATATAGTGGCATTTCACATCACGTCCTTTCATATCATATCATGCCATATCATATTTTATACCATGTTTGTCATGTTTGACTATTTTTTACATGGCGTTCTGTAGTGTTTTGCTATCTGGCAATGTGGTGTAATGTACATGTATACATGTAAAGTGATGTAACGTAGTGTAGTGTAATGTAATGTACTGTACTGTAATGTAATGTAATGTAATGTAATGTAATGTAATGTAGTGTAATGTATGCGATACGATTGGGGTTTAGTCTGAGTTTACACCCCGAGCATATGTAGCTGCAAACAGAAGGAGTAAAGCAGTAATCACAGCCATCGAGGTCTAGCTGAGAGCTTCTCCCGGTGTCTCCAAGCCTGAGGAAGTTGCATGCAGTGCCTCTTCCTGCTCAGGATGACTCTTCCAGCTTTGGCCGTTATGCAGGCATAAGCGCCATAATAATGCATTGTTAACCAGAGGAAGCCGATATAGTAGCAGGAGCCACAGTACTCGTTCTCATCGGTCATCCTTGCTATGCAGTACTTTGTGGTGATCCGCATATGAAGGATAGCAAGCCTCGTCGTAGCAAGAGCAACGGTTGAACTGGTCGTTGTTAGCTTCATTGTATCATTCTCAGCCGCAATCTTCAAAGCCCGGAGATTCCATAGCTGCCAGGAAGACCCAACATAAGCCCTCTACTTCACCGCCTATAGGCCTAACTGCTTTGGTGTGCTTCCGGTTCCTTGCGACCAAGGAGACTTTTCAAGCCAACTGGGGCCCGCACTACGACCCGGGCATCAACTTCGGGGTGGTTCTCAGCCTCTTCTACCCATGCTTCACAGGCCAGAAGAGGGGACTACCGAGCCGGAGCTGGAGAAATTTGTGGGTGGGGGCTTGAGGAGTTGGGGATTGGGGATGCTTGTCTGCATCTCCAAGGTAGCTGACAAGGTAGTCTGAAGACTTATCATCATAGCTTTAGACGGTTTCTCGCAGGCAGAAACCGGGAAGGGGCGCCCGTTCCTGTGAGTAGTCTAGGGGCCTTAGTAGTCAGAATAGGGTCTATTTACGCATATTAAGGTACCCTGGTAATTATGTAGTTCTCAATATTAAATCAGGCTCTCTTCATGGGGGTTGCTCCTTCAAGGTCGAAGCCCGTGGTGTTTCTCCAAGGCCTCAGCTTCTCGACGGGCTCTTAGTAAACCCCTCAACCCCCAAGGCGGTCTCCGTTGAGCCACGGAAGTCTCAAACCCCAAAAGCAGGCATCCTAAGTGGCGCGAACAGAGCGGATGTGCTGAAGGAGCCTCCTTTGCGAGGTTCAGGGTTCAGATGTGAAGGGCTTTTTCCTGAAAGCCTTTGGGTTCTTTTGCTTTGGGCTTTGTTTAGGGTCATTCTTATGCGGTGGGATCTCTTCATCTTCGGGGCAGAGACTCAGCTTCAGGGATTCTTCGTCAAGCTTCGGAAGCAGAGAACCCGAGAACCCGTAAGCCCAAGAAAGCCACCAGTCTATGAGTGTGGTGGAGGCATCGGAAGCCCGAAGCCTCGTAAGCTACGACTGTCAAGATGAAATCTCAGCCCTGCCGCCCTAAGTGCACTAAGTGAAACCGCTCTCTACTGCTTTTCGAGAATCTCCAAGAAGTAAGCTGAACTATAAGGCAGCAGCCTTCAAAAGGTCTCTTAGAACAGAAGTCAAGAAGCCCCGAAGCTCTGTGTTCTGAACCACAAAACTCCATAACCCCCAAACTCCCCAAAATTCCTAAACCCCAAACCCTCAAAACGTAAACCCTAAGCAGTCACGCCTTAGATTGTTGAATCCACCTTCCAGGACCCTCCCCGCAACATCCGGCTGGGAACCTTTGCGGCGATCCTGTACCGCTGCTTAAAAGAGGGTAGTGTCTGGGTTTTTCGTGTTGGTGGTTTACGGCTCAAGGGTTTAAGGCTTTAGGGGTTTTCTGGATATATAGGGATTTTGGTGGCTCCACGACCTACGACTCCAACGAGACCAAGAATCTGCGCCCTATAAGCACCCAAAGCCGCAAAAGCACCATTTAAAGGGTTGTAGCCCAAAAGCACCCTAAACCCTAAACCCAACACCCTAAACCCCTAAACCCTAAACCCTAAACCCCTAAACCCAAAACCCGAAAATGGCAACCTCCAGCAGCTTTACCCGAAACCTTCCTGGTTGTCATGCTCGACTTGAGCGGCCCGGGGAGGTAGGGTCTTGAAGCTGTTTTTGGCTCCGACGTTACGTAAACGCGCAAAACCGACATGTCGATTGGATCGGTTGTTTACTTTTGCCTACACTCGAAGCGCCTTTCGCATCGGTGCCGTCGGTGTTTCGCGCGGCTGCAGATCCTCGTTTGTCCGAGTTCCGGAAACCTCGGTATCTGCAGCGTTTCCTTGCCTTCGGGGGTGAAAACATCGAAATTCGCGAAAACACCGGTAGAGAGAACCAAGAAGACACGTTTCAAACAAGATGGAGGCAGAGAGCCCTAAGAAGCCACGCTGCGAACAACAAAAGGCTAGTCAAAACTACTAAGACATGCTGCGCGGGTTTAGGGTGTCGGGACATGAATCAAGGGAGAACGAAAGGTACTGCGAAGGTTCTTGCCCAGATGTGTAGGCGAATGTATCAGATTCTCCTTTCCCGTGCTGTTCCTCCGTTTGAAATGCGGTGCTGTTTGGGAACGTGTTCAGTACCTGCTCCCAGCCCGGTTGTTTTTTTGTACTTATAAGTTATAGTCATCGCGCTTGCCCGATGCTATGCGCATGCCAATTTTTTCTGCAGCTCTTTCGCTGGCGCTGCCTCCATCGCCGGTCCTGAGCGAATAGTCGTACACGATCCTCGATTTGCATGCCGCTTCAAACTTGCATTTGTGACCGCATTAGGCGTGGGTTATGGTATTTCTGGTATTTCGGTGGGAAGACCACTCCGTCGCAATCAAATCCGGCAAGACCAAAAAAGTGAAGGTCAGGAAATTGACGGATGCAGAGCTGCCTCTGCGCGTGAACAAAACTCCGTGGCGCCTGGGCATCATTTGCAAAAGAGCTTCAGCAAGAGTTCGATTCTAAATTTTCTCAGAAACGCGTCGGTGGAACGGCAAGTCTCCAGTGCGGCTTTGCAGCAAAGGCATATGAAAAGATGGAGAAGGGCAGAGGCTTTATCCGCGAGTCCCCTTCGTTGGTCGGTACGCTGGCCGGAGACAGAGGCTGGCGGTTGAGACCAAAGCGTCATTCAAGATGATTGCAGGAGACCCTGCCGCGGAAAGCGACGTCAGCAGACTAACGAGTCAGCTTCACACACATGATGCAATTCTCCGTAAGGACCTCTCCTGGGTCGGCCGGACCGAAGCAGCCTGGGTTGACTTCCGGGTCTTGCTGCTGGGTCTCGCCCAACAGTGGCATCTTCGACTTCAGGTCTGGGCCAGGTGAGGTGTCGTCTTGCATGTGCTGCCTTCTCCCGAAGACTCGTCCGTCTTGATTTTCAGGACAGTCCGCAAAGCTTGCGAGACTCGGGAGCAGCAAGCGTGGTTTTGGGAGCACGTGCAGGTGCCCCTCACACGAGCATTGCTGGCGTTCCTGGGGTTTGCGGTGCGTGCTCAGCCGCCTCAGGACGCATGGTCTACAACATACGCGGTCACTCCGCCGCAATGGCAATGGTTCCAAGCACGCTTCCAAAGTGAATACCCCGGCTTGATCGGCCAGGCGCCAGTTCCCATTTGGACGTTCTTCTCCGATGGCAACCTACATGGAAACCCTAGCCAGCCGACGGTTGCTCATGAAGCCTGGACTCGAAGCTGTTTTTGAGGCCATAACTTTGTACAGGGAGCATCGTCAAAGCATGCTCGGTTTTCCGCCGGAGCATTTTCGGATGCCACGAAAGACCGCGACTGGCTGTTGAGCTGAGAAAAAGCCAGGCGATGCTGTTGGGGATTGGGGTTTAAGCCTCTGTAAAATGCCTCAAGTTTTCAAAGCAAATGCCCGAAGCACTCAAAGCCCGAACTACTGTAAAATACACCCGAGAACGTGTGTATAAACAGCGAAAACCAACCAGCCACAAACTCTTGTGTAACGCGATGTGATATTCATGGCATGTTTGCAACAATCTGTTGGCGAGAACTGTCCTTGTTGCACAACAACATATTGTGTGTCCCTTTGAAACATGCAAAGCACAGAAAACCACGCAAATACCGATGCATTCGGCACCTGCGAAGACGTGGAACTCCAGACGCAGAAATTACCGACGCCACCGAGGTTTTCGGCATGCTGTAAGAACCGATGCAATCGGTATGTGCGTGGCACGCGTTTACGTCATGTCGGAGCGTTGCTTTCGTTCCAGTATAGAAGTCTACCGCAAAATGCCCAGAGATTAAGGTGTTGCTCTGGCTTCCGCAATGCATTGAGCATTGAGCTTTTTCCATGGTGCATAGAATGGTGTGCTATATTACAGTATGTCATTTTATGCCATACCCGATCACACAGTACGTCATGGTATTATGTTGCGGGGATCCGCCCCAACCGTGAACTCAGAGGCCCATGTCCCTAAACTTTCAAACCCCCAGCCAGAATCCCCAGTTTGCACTCCAGAAACCCGACACCGTCAGAAAGCCCGGAAGCTCCAAACGGAGCCCCGAAATCCTAAACGTTGGCAAGCCCTGTACGTCGAAACCGGACACCCGAAACCTGAAACCCTAAAGCCCAAATCCCTTAAAAGCCTCAGTTCTGGGGCGCAGGTTTAGCCTGGTCCTCTACTCCTCCTTCTTCCTGTTGTGGGGCTCAGTGGCGTCGGAGACCTTGACCAAGCTTGGAAATCTGGGTTTCATAATTCTAGTCGTCTGGTGTCTTGTTTTGAAGTATTTTGAGATAGAGTATGGTTCTTTCATGATTTTGGGTTGCGGGGTGGGGGTCTGTGGCTCTGGAAGTACATTGGGCTTCTGGCACTTCCGTCTTCGGATGGCAGAACACGCTGTACGTTTCCTACCCGCCCCTTCCGCATGGTGTCCCCCCCTGGCCACCGATCTGTATGTGTGCAGCAACAAATCTAGGCTACAGCTCAACCCTAAACTAACATCTCGTACGGGATGTCGCCGACCCAACTGCGGCGCAACCATACGATGCATTTCAATTTGCCATGCCCAGGTGCAACGAGGAGTTGGGACTGACTAGGTCCGTGACCACGGCTGTGTAGCCAAGGATAAGTACCTGAAGGGTGACTTCCTGGGCCACGAGCCGCATCACGGACGGAGGCCGATCAGAAGCTGCAACTGTTGTTGTTGTTGTTGTTGTTGTTGCTGTTTGACTTGGTTTGAGTTCGGGTGAAGAAGGGCCAGAGATGGCTTTTTTCCGCCGGTTGTGCTGTCGAACCTTAAAGACACTTTGGAACTTTGGGTTGATTGCTTCCTCACCGTGGTCACTCGAGTCCCCCACCCCCAACGGAAGCGGCCCGATGCTTCCAAGCCTTGTCGGAGGCAGCGAGCTTCGTTTGAAGCTTGCGGTGGTGAAATCCTAAGGAACCCAAGGTTCCCGTTCCTTGAAGTTCCACGTTTGGTTTTCGGACACCCCACGCTGGCATCCATAAGGGTTTAAAGATTGGGGTCTAGGATTTAGGGTTCATGACCCTTGCAAATCACGTTGTCCGACCCTGGCAGGCTCTCGAGTGCAGGTATCTCCCCGGAGGCAAGCCGGCACATCGTGCAGACAGTTCCCTTGCTGAATCTCCGGGAGTCCAATTGTTGCAGCTATGGCTTGTAGAAGGGATTTTCTCTGGAGTGTTTTTGGGTGTGACGAGGGCCTTCCCGCGATTCTGGTGTCCTTGACCTTTTGTGGTTGTTTGAGCTTGGCTTACTGGAGCAGTTGCACGTGTCACCTAGACGGCAAAAGCTTGTGTACTCCAGCAGACTGCTTGGACCTTTGAGCTGTGTTCTGCCAAAGTCAGACCTGTTGAATACACAGATACACACATGTATTTTTTGGTCTACCGGAACTGCAGTATACGAGAATGAATGAATGTATGTATGTATGTATGTCTGTATGTATGTCTGTATGTCTGTATGTTCATATGTCTGTATGTATCTATGTCTGTATGTATGTCTGTACGTATGTCATGTCATGTCATGTCATG